AGAAGCATAAATCCTTGACAAACAAAAGTCGGGGGCCCCGTACTGCTTCGCACGAACAGTGGCCATCCAGTAGGGGATGTGTAGGAGGGTAGATGTAGCGAAGCTACACAGCCCCTTAAGTCAGAGGAAGACTTAACGCTCTACGAGCAACTTAGTTCCAAAGAACTAACGACTTTACGAGTCAACAAGCTTTACAGCTTCAGATCCCTGTTCCAGGGGGACCTAACGATTCAGTGAATCGACAGCACTCAGTGCTCAAGAGTAGCTACCTCAAGGAGGTGTCGCTAGCTCTTAGTGATCAGTGATCAACGATCAAGACGGCTCGCAAGCCACGTGTCCTTCAGATCAAAATGGGAACTGATTTTATTTTGTTAAAGCCTATAGAATATCTTAATCCTACTCAAAGATCTTTCGTACCTAATGGCTGACACTCGTCAGCCCCTACAAACCAATAAGATATTCGATATCACCTTCACAAAGGGATAACCTCAGGTGTGTAACACCCCTGGTACAACGTACCATAATTTCGTGCAACCCCGTTACACCCTCCCCCACCAGACTGACGTTTGCCAAAACGTCAATCGAACTTGTGTTCTCAGCGAGAACAGGCGTACGGTGAACCTCACGGTAACGTACGCTCCAGCACGATGTCCTCATCACCAAACGAGTCAAAGGCTCTGTGTGACTACCTCGGAATAGAGGAGGAGGAGGACAAGGGTAGCGTGACAGTGTCCGCGGTGATACAGCGACAATGTCCGGCTCACTGATGCCTGTGGCACAACCTTCGAACACCCCAAATCCGTTCGCTGAACGTGGAGGTGCGAGCGCGCCACCAGCGCAGTATGCAGCGTCTGGGTCTGATGAGACTATCATCACGAACCCGCTCGATGAGCAACAACAACTGCTTGTTCAAAGAGAAGAAAACGCTCAGCGTCATGTACAAATGGCTACAACCCTTGAACGCCAGCGTGACTATGTGTTCACCCCACCCAGTGTGGAGGAACGTCTACGTCAAGCGGCCGGCCAAACATTGGCAACGTGGGTCATTGGCCATGGGCCTAAGACTCCTGAGGAGGTTGTGAGCTGCCAGGCACTTCGCGAGAGGTACCTGGAGCCGCACCTAACGACTCAAAGTCAATACAAGGCACGCCTTGACATGCAAGCGCGTGGTACACCGGTTCCACCGATCAAGGGTATACCCATTCTCTTGTTCGCAGGCGAAACAGTGAGCGAAGAAGACGATGCCTTTGTTCACTGGGTGCACTATGTGCGTCGCCTCAGCAACATTTTTGCTCTAAGGGCTAGTGCCAGTGTGGCTGACGTGCGTCTTGAACGCAAGCTTCGGTATGATTATGCCAAGCTTAAGGCCAGAGGCCAATTGCGCAAGCGCACGCGCTATGCTTCGGCTACTAAGGTAGCCGCGAGTGCTGGTCAGTCTGTGGCCAACAACCCGCCAACCCGCACCACTAGTGGTGGGGAACGGCCTCGGCCTCGAGAAGACCGTGGCCACGATGCTCAAAAGCCTCCAGAGCATATGGGCAGTCTTGCCGAAGGGGTACCTCAAATTCCCATGAGTTTTTAGACTCAGGGTACCAACGCCACTTAACCAGATACTGGTATTGGCCCTGACGACGACGTCGTTTCAGCAGTCTCTCGACATGAAATTGACGACACCCATGCTCATCGAGCAAAGTCGGTGGCGGCCGGTGTACCGGTGGAGGCCCACGAGAAATTGGTTCTCGAAGTGAAGGGTCTTCAAGAGGCCTTGGGTAAGTCCCAGTGCATGCTGGATGCGATGCAAAGCCGCCTTCAGGCGATGGAGCAAGCTCAAACTCGGAGCGAGGCTCAGTTGGACTTGCTGATTCGTCTACAGCAATCCGGGGCAGTGCCCTTGTCGTCGGCGCAAGCGCCTCCAAGTTCACATGGGAAGGATCCCGGTACGGCTTAAGTAAGCCTACGTAGAACACTGGATGTGTGCGCAATTTGCGCGGAAGGTTTAGCGTATACGCAAGTCCCTTCTTGGCCGTGACCGTAAACGGTCCAATAAAGCGTGGACGCAACTTTGTCTTAAAGACAGCAGACACTACATTTGTAGGTAGATTTTTAGCATTGAGTAGTACTTGGTCTCCGACCTCATAACGTTCAATACAATTTCTGCCTTTGGCATCAGCTTGTTGTTTTTGGGTATCTTGGCTATCAGCCATTGCGTCACGCACATGTCTTAAGACATTTAATCGCGTTGCGAGAAACTCGCTTACCTGTTTTTGAACAGTAGCAGGGCTGATATCAGCAAGCCGATCGGCAACCTCTCCCCCACCAAGCCCTGATTCACGTAGTGATAGCGTTAACGGAACGCGAGGGTGGGTGAGACCGTTTATATAGAACGGAGTAAAGCCTGTTGAGGCATGAACAGCGTTATTCAACGCAAACTCAACAACAGGGAGCATTGAGCTCCAACGCCTAGGCGTATCAGCGCAAATACTGCGCAAAATATCGTTGATGACGCGGTTTACGCGCTCAGTTTGACCGTCGGTCTGCGGATGATCCGCTGTGGACATGTCCAACCGAGTGCCAAGCACCTTGAAGATAGACTTCCAAAACTTCCCAGTGAAGCGGGGGTCTCTATCAGAGATAATTGCCACAGGCAAGCCATATTGGCGAAACACACGGTCGATAAACAGCTTTGCTGTACCTTCAGCATCGATGCTATCCGGCTGAGCCGCTAAGTGAGCCATCTTGCTCAATCGGTCAACAAAGACCACAATTCCAGTGTTGCCTTCCGAATCTTTCGGTAGGCCAAGCACAAAATCCATGCTCATGGACTCCCAAGAACCAGTGGGTACTGGCAAACTAGCCAGCGGCGCCGCCGCATGTGCCGAGGGTTTTACCCGTTGACACGTTTCGCACGTACGCACATAGGTGCACACCCACTTATAAAGTTTGGGCCACCAATAACTTTGGCTCACCGAGCTATAAGTCTTCTCACGACCGAGATGACCACTTAAAGCAGTATCATGTGCCTCATAGAGGATCCGATACTTTAATTCCTCATCATGAGGTACAACGATACGAGGGTTGTCCTCAATATCCGTGCGATAGCACAACAGGCCATTATCGATGGAATATCGATGTAGCCTCGCACGTAAACGTGCCGACAATTCTATGTCCGAGTCTTTAAACTCATCGCTCCCAAGAGCCCGTAGCAAAGCTACACACTGATCATCCTTGGCATATGCCGCACGAATTAAGTCAGGGACTGACGACGACAGAGTCGTAACATGAGCAAGCTCATAGTCAGGTCGACGCGATAGCGCATCAGCCAAAGCGTTTTGCTTACCTGGCTTGTACTTCACCTCGAAGTTATATTCGGCAAAGAAGGAAAGCCAACGAGCCATTCTCTGTGAGAGATGAGGCGACTGTGTCGCAGTGCGTAATGACGCATGATCTGTATAGACCACAAACGGCTTTGAGCCAAGCAGATGTACTCTGAATTTGACTAGAGCGTACTTCATAGCAAGTAGCTCTTTGTCATGAACTGGATAGTTCTTTTCGGCAGCTTTCAGCTGTCGAGACTCGAATGCGATGACGCGTTCGCGTCCATCGACATCTGTTTGTAACAGAGCACTGCCTATGGCAAAGTCAGATGCGTCACAGACGACACTGAAAGGCCGATCAGGATCGGGCAAAGCCAATATTGGCGCATGAAGGAGACTTTCCTTAACGGCTTCAAACGCATCATGTTCGGTGTTACTCCAACACCAATCCACATCCTTTTAAGGAGATTGGACAATGGCCGAGCCATATCTGCGTAATTCGCACTGTACTTATGTAAGTAATTGGCAAGGCCAAGCCACTTACGCAAGTCCTTTTGGTTCTTGGGGACTGGCCAATCGACTATGGCTTTTACCTTAGCGGGATCCGCTCGAAGGCCTCGCTTCCCAATGAAGCACCCTAGAAAGGGAATCTCTTCTGCACCATAGATGCACTTCGATGCGTTCGCATACAACTTATTCGTTCGCATACACTCGAGCAGCGCTCGTAAATGATCGATGTGGTTATCCACATCTGATCGCCCATTCATTGCACGAATATGGACAAAAATGTCATCAAAGTACGTTTGTGCATAGCCTCGATGAGGTCTGAATAGTTGCGTTACCAACCGGTTTAATGTAGCCGGGGCGTTAGATAGCCCTTGTGGCATAACGAGCCACTCCCAGAGCATACCGCTCGGAGTACTCACCGCTGTTAGCGGAATATCACTTGCTCGCATGAGCAGTTGGTAATAACCATCGACTAAGTCGAGTGCACTGTACAATGTACATCCTGCCATATTGTTCTGAAGAACATCCTTTCTAGGAATAGGCGTCTGCGCCGGTATAGTGGCTGCATTAAGCTTATTATAAGCATGCACAATACGCCACTTGCCATTTGGCTTTTTGACACAAAATGTCGGTGTTGAATGGGGAGATTTACTCTCACGAACCATTCCAGCCGCGTGCTTAGCACGAAAGAATTCGTCAATGACGTCACACTGTTCTTTAGGCAAAGGCCACTGCCGTGTTACACAGTATTTAGTTCCAGGAACCAAGTCAATCTCATGACGTACACCTCTATCGGGAGGTAAGGCAGAAGGTGGGTTGTGACACACCACATCTTGAAATTCCTTAACTAAAGGATAGAACGGATCCAAAGGATCTTTAAGGATCGAAGATCCACTTCGTGCACTAAGTGCCGCCTTTGTATCCTCTAGGACAGACTCATCCATTAACGAGGAAGAATTCAACTCAGTATCAGGTCTAATGACCGCTAACTCGGATAACTCTCCTGCCTTCAAGGCCTGGCTAAACTCGCCATCAGACATTTCGTCTAGCTCACAAAGAGCGTCCACGGATGGAAGGGTTTCAAGGCAAACACTGCCATCAACCCGACCAGTCACTCCATTAACAAGTGTATATAGTGTATTACTATTATCACTATGTGACTGTGAGGACGCCTGGCGCTTAAAAGTAGCTACCCGGCGTCTCGATCGTCTCTTCGAGACCTTACACCCCTTAGGGGTCGGGACAATATTGTCCCCATGGTTACTACCAACCATAGTACGCTCTATACGAGAGCTTTTGTCTTGACCGACATTAGGTGTGGTGCCCTCACGGCCGTCCACACTATACGGCGTATCGCCAACAGTATCATTACTGACATTAGGTGTGGTGCCCTCACGGCCGCCCACACTATACGGCGTATCGCCAACAACGCCATTACCGGCGTTAATCCTGGTGCCCTCACGGCCGTCCACACTATACGGCGTATCGCCAACAATATCATTATTGACATTAGGTGTGGTGCCCTCACGGCCGTCCACACTATACGGCGTATCGCCAACAGTATCATTACTGACATTAGGTGTGGTGCCCTCACGGCCGCCCACGCTATACGGCGTATCGCCAACAACGCCATTACCGGCGTTAAGCGTGGTGCCCTCACGGCCGTCCACACTATACGGCGTATCGCCAACAATATCATTATTGACATTAGGTGTGGTGCCCTCACGGCCGCCCACAATATATGGCGAGTCGCCAACAACGCCATTACCGACGTTAAGCGTGGAGTCTTCACGGCCGCCCACACTAAATGGCTTATCACCAAAAATGTCATTACCGACATTCGGTGCGGTGCTCTCACGGCCGACCGCACTCGGTGTAGTTTCACGTGCCACCATACACACATCAAAGGAATCACATCCTTGATCACTCGGCCCTAGGCCAACCATGCTTTCAGCATGCAGTGACTCATTATCACAACGAGTAACACTCAACGGAGTACGTGCCGTTTCACTAGACGAGCTAAGCTCGAAACTTATGTTTGTAACATTGGAGTTAGATAACTCAGACATTCCAATATCCAGCACATTGACATCTTCTGTCAAAGGCTCGCGCCAATAGCTTTTTTGTTGCCTAGCGAAGGTGGGTTCATGACTCTCCAAAGCTTCGCCAGGAACATTGCGCGTAGCGCCTAAGGTCTTGGACCTCCAATCAATCCATGGCTCATGGCGCTCAAGCCAAGCCATACCTAGGATGAGATCATATCTCGAGTCCAAATCTAGGACAAGACAGCGCTCAATACTGTCAAAGTCTAAAAACTTTATACCTAAGTTCAATGGAACTTTAGGCACAGTTACGCGACTTCCAGTCGCTAAACGAACCGTGATAGAATCACCCTCATGCGCTGTAAGCGCCTCAGCATAACGCTGACTTCCCTCAAGGGAACGGCGTCGAGCATAATTGCAAGACGCTCCAGAATCGATCAATATCGACCAAGGCTTCTCAAAGCCCTTAATTTTCGCCTCGGCGACCAACAAGCCAGACTTGTATCCACGCACCATACCTGTAGGTATGGTACTCTTTGGGGCTAAGCCCTGCATTCCTTTACCTTCTAAAGGTGTAACAGAACATAGTTCTTCCCCAGTAGGGCGCCCCGCGCCTACTGGGTGTCGGCATTTCCCCGTGCCATGCCAGACTTCTGACTCGGGGTCGAGTGTTGGCTCGTAGCCTGGCGTTGCTTACGCAAAGGGCAACCAGGCCGCAAGTGTTTAGTGCTTCCGCACGTAAAGCATCGTCGTACGACGTGTTGCTGCTCAGCAGCTTGAAGCTCAGCTTCACCTCCATCTTCAGCATAGCTGAGATCCATCGGTTCCGGCCTATTATAGGCAGTGGTACCCGAATAGTTTGCTCTCACAGAGCGAGGATTGAATCCATTCCAACCAAGTCTGGCCGACTTGAAGTTATGCTCAGCATTAAGAGCAATTCTCACAGCCTCTTCAAACGTAGAGGGGTGAACCCGAAAAACCTCGGTTCTGGCAATGCCAGTACGTAGACCTTCCATGAAGATAGTCACATGGACTGCTTCAGGCAGAGGGTCAGACTGCATTGCAGCCATGAGCGTTCGCAGCTCTTGGACATAGTCCGATAGTTCATTTTACCCTGGCGGGTAGAAAGAAAGCGTGAACGCACGCGGTAAGCCTGGTTAGGTGGAGAAAACACCTGTACCAATTGTGACTTGAGCGACTCCCATGTGGGAAACGCTATGTCCACCGACGTGCTACACGTCAAGGCCCATTCTCTAGCTCTACCATCGAGCTTCGAGATAGCCAGCGAGACCTGTTGATGGTCAAGCGTGATCAGACCTGATCTCATGGCCATCTCGATCTCACGGATCCAGAGGATGAGGTTCTCACCCTCCTTACCGGAGTAGTTTTTTACTTCCACTCTAAGTGGACGAGGCTTAGCCTCTTCGTCTGGTACAGACACGTAGCGTGTAGGCATAGCCGACGCTATTTGGTCTTGGACCTGCCCTAAAAGGGTCGCTTCATACTGCATGAAGCTTTCAACACGTGCATTAAGCACTTCAGGACCTTGTGAAACAAGGAACTCCACGTACTCTGGACCCAAAGATGCGGTCAGCTTATCAAGCGCGACCTTTTGGGCCTCAGATAGGGGAGTGGAGTTTTCCATCCCCACAGAGGATCAGTCTTAAAGACTCAGGTGTAGATTGACTACGAGTGCTACCAAGTGTAGCGGAGCTACACAGCCCCTTAAGTCAGAGGAAGACTTAACGCTCTACGAGCAACTTAGTTCCAAAGAACTAACGACTTTACGAGTCAACAAGCTTTACAGCTTCAGATCCCTGTTCCAGGGGGACCTAACGATTCAGTGAATCGACAGCAATCAGTGCTCAAGAGTAGCTACCTCAAGGAGGTGTCGCTAGCTCTTAGTGATCAGTGATCAACGATCAAGACGGCTCGCAAGACACGTGTCCTTCAGATCAAAATGGGAACTGATTCTATTTTGTTAAAGCCTATAGAATATCTTAATCCTACTCAAAGATCTTTCGTACCTAATGGCTGACACTCGTCAGCCCCTACAAACCAATAAGATATTCGATATCACCTTCACAAAGGGATCACCTCAGGTGTGTAACACCCCTGGTACAACGTACCATAATTTCGTGCAACCCCGTTACAGTAGACGACGGTCGTTAGAATTGCTTAAATGCATCCACTGTACCTAGAAGAATAGGGAATTGATACAATTACACTCAGTTTCCTTGAATACACGTCCTTTGTCAAGCCTGATATTCGCACCCTTTTGCCAACCATCAGATAATACACTTCTCTTCATCATTCTGTTTCTCTAATAAAACAGTCAGCAGAGTTTCGATATTCTTTTTCGTACCTTCATTTTACACACTTCTTTGATTTTGAGTACCTCTTGAATTTCTGGGCCATGCGAGATGTTTATGGCAATTAAAGCCATCATACCATCAACAAAATTATTTTGGAGTGTATGATTGCCTGTTCGTGTACTTTTCTAGATGTAATCATGAGCAGGTAAAACAACGCCCTTATCGAGTTCATCGCCATGAAGTCGATTACAGTCATTCCTCGCATAACTCATAGGCTTGGTGGAGTCAGATTTTGAATAACGAGTAACCAACCAGTTTCGCAAATTTTCGAACTCCACCGGTGAAAAGGAAAAAATAGCGGTTCCTCCTTCTAAATCTCCCTTAATCACGTCCCAAGTATTGTCATCACCAATGTACGGAGGCTCTAGATTTACTAACAAAGGCCAAAAACGTAAAAAAGAGCCAAAGTGTCCGGGCTAATTAAGCTTGCAGGAAGATTGCATCTTATATCACCCAGAACGCCATCTCTCAGAATATTGAAGCGCGATGATCCAGAATCTATAACATGTCACAACTTTCGCTTAAATTACAGTAGGTGCTCATAATATAAAGCTAAAGGAAGACATGTCGACTTCAGTGCTTCAATGCCAAACGAGGCATGTTTTTTGTTGTTGTCGAAAATCATCGAGTTCAAAGCGTCAGTGTTTTGTGAATGTCTTAGCCTACTTAAGAGCATTTTCAAGTTCTCCAGGGGAAAGTCGCAACTATTCCAGGAGGGAAAGAAGATGTTTAGCATCAGCATCAACGCCGAGAGGAGTTCAGCAAATAATAGCCATGGATGCGGCATTGTCTGGACTCAGGACGGCATTTAGTCGCTTCGATGTTCATAACACAAATCAAACAAACGCATGACGATTAAGAAACTTAAATTAGACTGTTGCTGAACTTTACTGAAAGTGATTTAGGCCTACTTGCAAAACGATTTAACGAAGACACTTCCATCGAAATATTGAGGGTCTCAAATTACAGATGGATAGATTGATTTAATCTGTCAAAAAAAGGGGAAGTTTAGAATCTTACTGTTCAATAACAGTTTCTTTCCCTTTTTCTTTTTGGTCCGGATCTCTATTGCCTTCACTGCCAATTCGGATGGCATTTCATATATCCATCGTGTAGCAGCTAACACACGGAGAAACCTGTATTCCTTACATTCTAATTTAGTGCACTGATACACTTAGTCCTTGTGCATTTTAATACAGCAATGTGGTTTTCATCACACAGCAGTATTCTCGTATATTATGGTGCCTCGAAATACTCATAATTCTTATAGTTACGAGTTACCAGGTATGAGTTAGCGACCATAACATGAGCGTAGTGGAACGCAATCTGTAGCGACCATAAAGTGAGCGTAGTGGAACACAATCTGTATAAAACGGAGGCGTAACCCCTACTACGATGAAAAGATATGAGCAAGTGAAACCACTCTCTCGAGCAAGGAGAAACTAGAACTTGTGACATGTGATAGGTACGGGACACGGTCACTGCCCCAAGGCAGGATTCAACTAGCGACCTAGTTATATGAATTATGAGGATACAAGTTTTTGAGAGATGACTGTAGTTAATAGTACATACCATATGCATTTCTCTTACAGCTCTAAGCTTCTGTACCATATCGATAGATTGATTCCATAACCACAACCGTCATGGATGATTTCCTCGACCTCCTGTAATGTGCTTTTGGTACCCTTCGACACCACCCAGCGTCAGTCTGCGCAAAATGGAAATCAGTTATCGGGAGACCACAATTTGGATGCACAAAGTAGTTGTAACTACATTGCTGCACTCATTGCGCTCAAGTACGTCAATGCACTCATATTGGGCAACGCTCGCGGTGGGACGGCGGAACAAACGCATGATCGAGATCTCTTTGGACTACGTTTAACACGCTGTAAGGAATCTTCAGGTGTGCGTATGTAATGACACAAGTTCATTGCATAATTCGATGGTTTTGCGATCTACTTTTGGACGAAAGCGTGAACTATAAGAATGCAGGCAGCTTGAAAGGTGCAGCCGCGTGAATGGTATGCTTTCGGTATCTCATTCAGTACAGTCCATTCCTTTGAATATCGTGATGACCTACCGAGTAAGGAGCAGCATGGTTCTGCTGTAATGAAAATAGAAGAAATCATGATATTAGAAAGGTTCCCTATACAACACTGGGCTGAATGGACGACAATTTAAATTGAGTGGATATTGGTATACCTAGGAAGCCTTGAACCACCCACCACCCCTTGTATATTGCAATAATCAATGTAGCTATCACGATTTTTGATTGGTCACAAAACGACGTCATATGATAAATGCTGGCGGCCAATCCCAGCGCGAAAATTTCGATAATAAAGCCACGTGGTGGTGCTGTGGTTTAGCAGAAGCAATTGGGGGGCAGATGTTGGATGGAGCAATCCCAGGCCGCGTCAGTTCATTTAGAAGGATCGATTGTCTGCTAAGCTGCGCGAAATTAAGACCGAACATCGCAATACCAAGATCGATACCACGATGCTGAGTGTGAATATTGATATACCGCGATCGAATATCACAGCAACGGGATCGAATATTAAGGGTCAAAATCAAGACAAGAAACCAAGATCGGGAACACATAAGGTGTTCAAAGTCGGGAATATGACCGACAAATCAGCAAGGATCACGGTCCTATAGCGTGATCGAAGATCAAGTGGATCGACGATCAGGAGATTGACAATTGATCAGAATATGATCGAACCAGGAGATCGACGATAGGGGAGATTGACGATCGAGGAGATCGACGAGTGGTCAAGAAAATTGGCGCTCACTCAAGGAGATCGATGATCTATCGGAAGTGGACGACATGTGCGAAGGAACGATCAACAGAAGGTAGAGAACACGTGGCAGCATATCCTGACTCATAGACAGGCAAATTCGTAGTTTCAGCTTTCGGTTGGTTGATACTAAAATAGACCCCATTTAATTCTAAGGTCATTTGTCGACTTCTCTTTCGGGTTGGAATATTGGCCGTTCGACGTCAAGAAAGCCGCGTATACTAAAACCAAGTAATACACTTAGAAAATTAGCTGGGAGCCAAGAATTCTCAAGACAAAGCCAACTGCGATTGGACGCAGCAAGAACGCAAAGGACAAGGCACAAGATCGAGAGACGGCTTTAGTGGTCAGAAGACTCGTGCGTCAAGCATCCAAATTGTGGACAGGGCGATCTCGTTGAAATCTAGGTGGCTTAAATCAAGTAAACCACAAGCATACCCGTGATCATGTGACCGTTTCCGCGCGATCACAAACCCCAATTCTAACTCGGTCATGTATCCTCTCTACACGAGTTCACCGAGGAGAGTGCAGACCGCCCTACTGACGGGTACACAAGGTGAGTAGGGAAATACAAGGCACGTAAACGGAGTACCCCCTCTGATATTCGGTCGTCCGGGCACCAGTAGAGTATTAGGATCGCCTCACAAAATGAGCGATAGCCACTCCATTACAGTTCAATCCTGTCGTCCTAGCACCTGTATACAGATAGAACCCATCGCTTGTCGCTCGCGATGGAACCATTGTTTTATCCACAATCCTCGTATCGTACACCACATCAGCAAACTCACACGAAAAGGTCTATTACTTCATTAGCGTCAAGTGAAACCTGGATAAAAAGCTTTTATAATCATTACGCCGTCCAGTCACACACCAGAGCAACGTCTTTAGATTTTGTAGTTGTAGTGAGCCAAATAATTGGCCCGCACTTCCTTCTGGCCCTTTTCAACAATACTTTATCCTTCCATGGCACGTGCACTGAAGTCTTGCAATGACTTCGTCTTGCCCCTTCTACATGCTAGAATATATAGACAATTGAAGCGGGGTGGTTAAGTGTGAGCGGCTTGCAATAGAACCAGGTAATTGCACTTAACCCATGTCAAATACTTTTCCCACCGTCGATTACCGTCACTTCTTGCTGCTCAGGGATCATTCTATAGTGAAGGGATTAGCTGAATAGTAAATTGCCACATGTCACCAACTTATAGACGTTTGTACAAATTTTCAGATACATATCTTTGCAAGCCAGGAGGGTGAAGCTATTAGTGACTGCGAGTAAGGCGAAGGCTGAACTTTTAAACCGTACTTATTTTTGTGTGTCTCTAGGTATGTGAATAACGCAGCTAGGTGTACTTGCACGTGCTCCCTGCGAGTTGGCCCGTCCCTTTTCACGGAGACATAGATTCATTTTCGAAGTCACTCTTTGACTAGGTCGCTATTGTGACGCACGCACGTAATGGTTTCAAATCGATAAATGT